GTTGGGTGGCTTGGGCAGTTTGTGGGGCCACTAGCAGGGGAACCAGTATTTATCTTCAGTGCATGAACTGGCTTTTTGGAGCCCATTCCCTGTGGAGGGATACTCTCTCAGCTTAGGTACAGGAGGGAGGGCCTCGGTCTTGCCTCAACTGATGTGACACTCCGATGATTCCCCATGGGAGGCCTCACCCTCTCTGAGGAGTGGATGGGGTTGGGGTAGGGTGGGGAGAAGATGGGGTGAGCAGGGAAGGGAACTGGGATTGGTATGTAAAATAAGATAGTTTAAAAATATAAAATTTAAAAGTTTATGTGTTGAAATCAAATTCTCAATATAATAGCATTAAATATCAAAGTTTTTAAAAGTTGATGCAATGCAGCAAGAAGGCACCCCAGAACCAAGAGGCAGACCTTGACCACATACCAAAGCTGGAGCTCATTTCTCCCAGGCTCTCTGATGCCCATAACTGTGGAAAAGAGATTTCTGTTGTGTATAAAGTACCTGGTTGCAGTATTTTGTCATAGTCCACTTAACAGACCACCTTCTAGTTTTTGTAATGCTTATTTATTCATCACAATAATTCAAATCTAGTTGTAGGAAATCCAGTGAAGTTCTAAATCAGGCCTCTTTTCTCTTCAACAAAGTAAGTAAGGATGGAGAAATTGTCAGTAATGAGAATCGTGAGAAAAATATGTGTAAAAAGATTGAAAATGGGATAAGAACTTGTATTGTGTAGGTAGAAAAATCTCGATGAAATGGTGACACTTGGTTGAAGGCCTAAACCATCAAATGAAATGTTCGTGTGAAATGGGGTAAAGGCAACTGTAGGTAAACTATTACTGTAGCAACTGTAGGTAAACTATCACTGTAGGAACTGTGGGTAAACTACCATTGTAGGATCTGTGGGTAAACTACCACTCTAGGAACTGTGGGTAAACTGCCACTCTAGGAACTGTAAGTAAACTACCATTCTAGGTAAACCCCCACTGTAGAAACTGTAGGTAACTGCCATTACAGGGAAGGAACCAAATCTAGAACTCCTCTTGGGAATTGCAGAAGCTATCAATATTATTGAAAGTTTACTTTGCCCAAAGAAATGTCAAATGGATAGCATTAGGAAGCATTAGAGAGTGTAGATGATTTATTATGCATGGTAATATATAAACTCATCCTTAATCAATAATTCCATCAGTGTCATATAAAAAATGACAGACTACTCCAGCAGACCTGAAAGAACCCTCAGTACTCCTGTGCCACAGCATCAACCTTCAAAACCAGAGCCTTAAAAGTGACCTTTTAACAAGAGTCACGGTTCAGAAACAGGAGCGGGGCTTTTAAAAATTCTCTTTGCTCCTAGAAGGTCACCAGGCCCCCTTCCATCCCAGCACCATCGAGGCAGCTGGACCCTGTCCTGGTTTCTGATGGCACTCTTCGGCTCTGGTAGGCAGGTGAGAGACATGCCTCCAGGCTGCACCTCAGGCCCAGCCATCTACTTGACACTGTCTCAGCAAGACTCACTCTGCCACCCAACCCCACGCACCTCAACATCCTTCCCTGAACATCCTCCCTGTGGCCAGCCATACCTGTTCGGTCTCCCCCTCCCCCCATATAGGCACAGGAGCAAACCACACTAGTTGAAAATTCAGGCACAGATCCAAACCACAAAAATTGGAAAAATCGGAAGAAGAGGCACAGGTACAAGCCATACCAGTTGGAAGAAAAGATGAGTAAAGGCCTCAGTAAGAATACATTCACCAACCAAAAGAGCAATGTGGAACCACCAGAACCCAGTGATCCTACAACAGCAAGACCTGAATATTCCAATGCAGCTGAAACACAAGAAAATGAACTTTAAAATTACTTTACGAAGGTCATTGGAATTCTATAGGCCACACCTTAAAGTGCTTCTTTGACATTCAAGACAGTGGTTCACTTTAGAATAATTAGAGTTGATTTGATTTGAGACGTGTTGGATGTTTCGAATTTGTCTTCCCATTGAGAATGAGCAGTGGCCTGGATGAAAACCACTAAAACATGAAGTTTCTTTTGCTGTTCTGCACCAAAAGATCAAAACAGACAAACTACGAGGCTGCAAAACTGGAGAAAGCATCTTAATAGTCTCCCAGATGACAGGAAAAGTATGGCAGTTACTGCACCAGCAGAAATGTATAGACACCATTGAAGACTCCGAAAACCTGGGAGCTGAAGCATGACTCTTTATACACCCCAGACTGCAAAAACTCAGGAGAATCATGAACATGAAGACAACAGACTTCCCTGAGAATACAGCAGAGAACTCTGATTATCGTGCTTATTGAACCATTGTGAATTTGGGATTGTCAGCTCTTGCTGTCTCAAAAAACCAAAAACCAAACAAACAAAAAACAAAAAGAGAAAAAAAAAATGAATTAATTCACTCTGGTTTTCTTTGTGCTTCTGAGAACAAAACCACTGAGACCATAACGAACAGGTTCAAATCCACAGCCTGTGATGCACAGCTATACAAATGCAAAAATGTTCTCCCAACCTCAGTTTCTCCATTTGTGATGCAAGCAAAATGACGCCTGCTTCAAATGGGTTGCCAGGATGAAATGAGATAAGACACGGAAGTTCTGAGTGTGCTATCTTGGTCCCAGTAAGAGTTTTTGAAGTTGTAAGGTATATAAAAATTAAATGTAAGAATCAATACTCCCTCTAGCCAAAGATGGGCTTTTCATTGAAATTGGAAGTTTTCTGTATTTTTTCAGTTTTTTCTTAAACAGTCTTAGTCTTCTCAGGATGTTGTTGGACTCCCAGCAATCCTCCTGCTTCAGCTTCCTGAACACTCAGAATGTGAGGCTCTATATGCCTACCATGGAGGTTTTTGGTTTTAGAGGTTTTTATCCCTTTGTTTTTCACAAAAAGTTACCACTTTCCATGAAAAATACATTATATTTATATGAAATGAATTTTGAATATAGTAAATTAATTTAGACACAACTTGATGTACATGTATACATGCATTGCTTTCTAAGTAAGACATTTATAGTTCATTAGGCATTCAGGAGCATGCCTGTAAAGCAGGGGGATCACCACGAGTTGAGGTTGTCCTTGGATACATATTATGAATTTAAGGACAGCCAGAACTATAAATTAAGTTCTCAAAAACAAACAAAAAAGGCATTCACAGCTACATTAGTTTCTCTGAGATATGCATGAATTCTGGCACTATGAAAAAATTAATTTAAGAGCAATTTATAATTAAGTAAGGGACTAAAGAGGAAACACTTCATACTGACATTAAATGAAATGACATGAGAGGGAAAAGAAGTTAATGGAAAGGAATGAAGCAAAATAGAACAGAATGAAGCAAAACTGAACAAAAATAAACAGAGCTAAAGCACATTCCAAATAAAATTTACAAGGTAAGCAGCAACAACAAACAGAATCAGTCTTCACCTCGTGTGTGTGTGTGTGTGTGTGTGTGTGTGTGTGTGTGTGTGTGTGAGTGATAACCCTCTATTTTTCTGTTGGCTTCATGCCAAAGCTGAGGGATCTCCCTTATATAAAAAGTCAACTGAAAAGCTAACAACAAGGGCTAAGCTAGAGGCGCTGGTACAGTACTACTCTGAGAAACGGAACTTTTATTATCCTTCCTTTTTCTTTCAGAGGCTTTAGGCCTCCAGCAGCTCAGAGGTATGGCCACAGGCAGGCAGCTCTCCCTAAGCCTTTGACTCCTATGCAGATTCTGTCCTCTATTCCCTACTGTTCCTTGTATTGGTTTTGTACTTTGTTCTTGTAATGGCTTGGTTTAACCCTGTTATTTACAAGTCACATGTTTTCCTTTAAAAGCAGATGTAATTGTGAATACAGCAAGAAGGAAGACATTTCTCAAGTATATATCTTTTAAATGAGATCTTACACACTTAATGAACCTAACAGTGAGAATGACTCCTTGTGATTTTCTTAAAAATAAAATTAAAGTATTTTACAATCTTAATTTCATTCTTTTGCCCCCTTTAATTTCTTACTCTGGTTCTTTAACTGCTGCCAACACAATATTTTCTGAATTCAAGTCTTTCTGGGTGGAGTGGGGATGGTTCCATTCCAGGCCACCTCTTCAGCAGCAGCCAGTGTGGAGCATTTGTTCTCAGCATAGGATTCTGCAGCCTGGCACCGCTGGACGGCATTTTCTGCCTTCCTCGAGGGCACTCTGTTACTCCTTACTGACATTAGTTACTGCTATCTATCCAGTTTCACACATTCTGCATGTCAGCTTTCAATCCCTTTATAGCAGTGGTTCTCAACCTTCCTAATGCTGCAATGCTTTAATATAGTTTTTCATGTTGTGGTTACTCCAACTATAAAATGATTTTCACTACTTCATAACTGTAATTTTGCTACTTTTATGAATTTTCATGTAAATATCTGTGCTTTTCCATGGCCTTAGGCAACTCTGGTGAAAGTGTCCTTCGACCTCTTACAGAGGTCGCAACCCACAGCCTGAGAACCATTGCTTTATAGTGACTCCCCAGAAGCCAAGGGATGCAGCATTGGAATCATTGAAAATGCACTTTTGAGTTCTCAAGGGCTTTATTTTAATGCCATCATTTTACACTAACATCTCTGAAGTTCCTTCCTGAGATGGATTTCTACATGATACTTGGGAGTCTGTGCTCATAACTATTTACCTTTCTAGGATTTAGCTAAATGAACCCAAATACACACTGTTAACAATTTCTATTATTACTCAGTCTGTCAAATCAGTAATTAAAACATCACAAAGAAGCCAATTCAAATTGCATTCTTCACACTGCTTATCCACACACATGCATTTATTGACAGATACAGCTGCCCAGTAGCCACCAACCAATGGCTGTCTCTCACTTTAGAAGTAGCATTGTAGAAGGTAGCCATTGCCTGGATAAGATCCTCCCCAGCACCGGTATATCAGGTGACAGAGTCAGAGGTTCAAGCTCTGCCACCACCTCCCCACCTCCCCACCACCCACAGGGTGACATTACCTCTCTGGATCCTTACTGCCAACCTCCAGATGCCCAGTCCCAAAATGACGCCCGTCAGCAACCCACACACAATAGCCACCAGCACCCGGATGTTGCAGGAATGACAGGAACGCATATTGAAGCAAAACCACTGCACCACTCGTGGTGAACCAGCTAGTTCCTTAAGTCAAGAGATTTAATCAGAGACGGTTATAAAACACGAAGAGAGCTCTTCCTTTCAGTGGTCCGTCTGGCAGGTGTTCACATGCTTGAAGAGTCTGGAAGTTAGTTCAGCATAAAGTAGTTGCAATGGCCGCCTTGAAGGTGTCTTTCTGCTTGCAGTGTGCTCATTCTTCAATGAGGGAGATCAAGTGTCTGCAGTTCTCAGAAAAGGAAACCAATTGAGGGCTATAACAAAGAAGGGGAGGGTTCAGCCTAGAGGGTCAAAGGGTGGCTCTCCAGACAAGAAGGAAGGAGGCAAGCAAGGAGAACCCAAAGGGGAAGCCAGGAAGGCAATGGAGCCCTCTGGTTGTCCACAGCTCAGCCAGGTGCTTCAGCATATTCACACATCCTCTTGGAGAAGTGAAGCATGTTGTCAAATGAGGCGATAAACTGCAGTAGGCACAAATGATTCCACGGCTTCCATTTCCTTATGTGCTAACAGCTGGAACTGGTGAGTGAGCTCACTGGCTCAGGGAGAACTGTAAAAAGCATAAAAGCCTCTCTTAGGAATTGAATCATGATTCCACATTCATGTGCTGGAGCCAAAGCACCCACAATGTGCCCCTGATTGAAGATAAATTTGGTTGGGAAAATAGTCGATTTTAATTGAGTACAATGGCATGGGCCTTATTCCAATACAGTTGGTGTCTTTAAAAGAGAAGATTGGAGTAGATGTGCACAGAAAGCAATAAATAAAGAGACTTAAGACCACTAACTGCAGAGAAACTACAGAGAAAGGTTGGAGCAGGGCCCTCTATCAGAGTTCTAGGAAAGAACCAACCATGATGACATTTTCATTTAAAACAGAGGTTCTCAATCCATGGATCATGATGCCTGTTGGAGCCAAATGACCCTTTCACAGGGGTCACATCAGATGCTGTGCTTATCAGATATTTACATTATGATTCATAACAGTAGCAACATTACAGTTATAGAGTAGCAGTGAAAATAATTTTATGGTTGAGAAGGTGTCAACACAATATAAGGAACAAAATATTTCTGTTATTTAAGCTTGTGGTACTTTGTTACAACTATCTTAGGAAAGAAATCCCCTACCAGAACTTGTATGTGCAAACGGCTACCTCTATGCGGCTGCAGCTGTGACTCTTGGGGTCTGGCCTTCCTCTTCCCAGCCCTTCCTAGTCTCAAATGAAGTCACTAATGAGTACCCATGTCAGGACTGTCACAGGCAGGGACAGGTCCTCAAAGCGTTCATATTCCCTTCCGGGTGAGAAACGAGGGAGTCACCCCTGATAAGGCAGGTCACAGCTGTTAAAGATCTCAAATGTAATTAGCACAGAATTCTCTTCCGGGAGTATTAAGTAGTTTCTAAAGGACAACCTTGGGGGTTATTAATATAAAGTCCTAATTTTACTTCATCCCAGAGCTTCATGAAAACACATTAATATGTCACAGAAGGAAAGAATTTAGAGATTGCTCCGGAAAAACAAAACAAATGAATCCCTGTTCATTTTCCATTTGTTGTGAATATATGTGAATATATTATAATACTTACTCTATATTATCTACCAAAATGGCTACAGTAGGGTACATTTAAAAATTCTTCATGGAAAGATCAAAGGATCTGAGGCACAAGAAATTTAAAAGTTCTTTATACCCTTTCTGTGGTATGTATAGTATGTATTTTAAATTGGCATAACATATATATTACCTTTTCAGTATAAAAATAACAATGTTCCAATGTTCCATAAGTAATAAACATAGAAGATGAATTATCACCTATTAAAGGGGAAACACATCAAGCATAGCACTATGGACAATTTTTGTCTTTGCCTCATTGATTTCATAACACAATGCAGAAACAAGGATGAGGCTGGAGATGACTGCAAGATGAGCTCCTTGGTTACAGGATATTGAGCAATACCAGGTCATGCAGAGTTAAACGGTGTCCTGTATGGACCATTCTGCAGCCTCCAGTGTATGCATATGCATTGCTCATTGCTAAATTCCCAGTGTTTCTTAACTACAGAACTGAAGAGGACACTCTCAGAGATGTCATTGTTTGGATATGCCAGAGAAACCTTGCTTGATATGGAAGAGGGTGACCATTGCTACAGAAGATGACTAAAGAAATGGATTGTGGTGCCCATGGCTTCCCTACCAGGATGTCAGGATTTTTTCTCCTTGCAAGGTTACACATTTTGAAGGGAATGGAGCCCAATGGCTGGGAAACTGATTTTGGGTGGTGAATAGACATTTTCTTCCTCCAATCAGTGGAAATACAGGAACCCTGGTATGCTGCCATTATCATAGCGTCATACAACTTTGTTTCTTTGGCTCTGTCATTGAATTCATAATGGTGCCCCTTACTTGCTAAGAAGAGTAGAAATTTGTGGGATAGGAATAATCCTAGGTATAGAAATTTAGAGGTTTGCATTTATATAAGGACATGTATTATTGTCTTTAATACCAAAATGTATAAAAAGTCACTCTTATGATTTGGATAAGATATTTCCTTCCCAGCAGTTTGTTTATTGCAAAGTAGGTCCCCAGATTGTGCCACTATTTTGGTAGATTCTGAAAATATTAGGAGATAGAGACTAGCCAGAAGAAGTAGGTCACACAAACATATCCTGTGGATCTGTACCTTGTCCTGCCTTCCCACTCAGTCTCTCTTATTCTTTCTCTCCTGTCTTCCATGAGGTAAAGCGATTCTTCTACTACAAATCCTTGCTACTATAATGCTCTTCCAAAAGCATGGGACCAAAGAGCAAACAACACAACTAAAACCCCCATAGACTTCTTTAGAAACAGAACCAAGCCAAACTTTACCAACACTATTTTATATGCACACAACTCAAGAAGACAAAGAAGAAAAAAGGTAAATGGGAAATGACTTATTTATTGATTTATTCTACTCAAAGCATACATTGGGATGAACATGTGGATAAAATAATAAACCAGAGGGACAAGGTCCTTGTTGTCACACAGCTGCCACTCAGGGAGACTTGGGTTTGTGTTTATGCTATCACTAATTTGTCTCATGGCCTCAAACAAATCACAGAAAATCCAGACCTCCGTGTCTTCACATTTTCAACAGAGTTAGACCTCTCATTCCTGTGCATTTTAGCCGTAAAGACTTCATTGGAATAAGAACAAGGAAAGTGTTCATCATGTGTCAGAGGCACCGTGACTCAGTGGGTGTTGACAACCAAGTAGAGTAATGAGAACATCTATAAAAGGGAGATTAGCTTAAGCTGCCACACCCAAAGCCGGGTGAAGAGGCCTTCTTGTGCTGAGCATGAATAAGCTGGTATGGAAGGTCAGTGTCAAGTACGGGAGACAATCACCCACGTGAGACACCTAATGTGAGAAGTCAGAGGTAGGCAAGGAAGAATAGGACACCCTTTGGAGATCAAGAGTCCCTTCACAGGTGATCCACTTGGCAGACAAGTCGGGGTCTGGGGACTGACTTAAGTGAGCAAGACATCTGCTGCATGGCAGACTTGGCTAGGTCATGCATAAGGAGGAAGGGCCCCCACACATGGGTGTAGGTAGCAGAAAAGAGCAAGATTAGTTGCATATAGGATGGTAGGTCAAACAGGCAAGCATTTGAACATTGAAGCCAGCCACTACTTTGGAGCTTCCTGAGTTGTGTAGTTTTTGTTAACTGCCTGAATTGTGTGGTGTTTGTTAACTTCCTGAGTTGTATAGGTTTGGCTAACTTCCTGAGATGTGTAGGTTTTGTTAACCTCCTGAGTCTTGTGTCTCTCCTGCCTCCAGGAGGTGATGATCATATCAAATGAAATATCTGTAGATCACCATCTATCCCATTGCTTCTAGTTCTCTGGAGAACTAATACCAGGAGTACTTTGCATTAAGTATCAGGCATTTTGAAAAACAAGTGGCCCATAAACCTAGAAAGCTTAAAACAAGTATGCAAATCAAGGACACTAAAGGAATTTATGATTTAAATAGATAAAGTGCAGCTGTGTTAGTTTGCTTTTTATTGCTGTGATAAGATATACCGTGACCATGACCAAGACATAACACTGGGAGAAATGAGCTTTATTTTCACTTACGGTTTCAGAGGAATGAGAACCCATCATGGTGGTGCAGAGCCATGGCAGCCACAGGCCTAGAAGCAGAGCAGTTACAGAGGCCAAGAGCTCACATCTTCAACTGTAAGCACAAAGCAGAGCCATGGCAGCCACAGGCCTAGAAGCAGAGCAGTTACAGAAAGCCAAGAGCTCACTCACATCTTCAACTAAGCACAAAGCAGAGCCATGGCAGCCACAGGCCTAGAAGCAGAGCAGTTACAGAAGGCCAAGAGCTCACATCTTCAACTATAAGCATAAGGCAGAGGCAGTGAACAGACAGTGGGACAAGACCATATGCACCCACAGTCTGTCTCCAGTGATGTACCTCTTCCTCAGGGAACACCAGCAGCTGGATACCAAGTATTCAACTATGGGAGCCTATGAGGGACATTTCTCATTTAAACCACCACAGCTGGCATATTAAGGGCAGCAAAGACCATGCAGAAATCACTGAATCACTGATCAACGTAAGGTTTTCACTACAAGTATGAACAACACCTGTCTGAGGACTGTTTTAATGACAGCAGGACATATCAACTTGATGGATCCATAAAACAGCAAAAATGTATAGCCAAACCAGGCTTCTGTAATGTTTTGCATGAAAGATGATGCATTTCACTGATGATAATGAATCTGGGAGACGATATCTTTATTCTTGATACTTACTGAATACTCTTAATATATTGTTTCCCAGATGGAATGAATGCATGCCATCTTTTGACAACTAAAGCATTAAGTTTAAAACTAATGTTAAAGTAAGGGAAATCTATCCATTTTCTAAGGCTGCTCTAACAAAATACAACAAGGTGAGGATCTTAAAGGACAGAGAATATTGCCTCAAAGCACTAGGGGC